ACAGGCACCCCCACTTCAGGCAACCCCTGGCTGCGCGGCCCCCGTGCCCTGCCCAGAGCCTTCCCCTGTGCAGGCAGCGGTGCCAGCACCGCGCCTGTGCCCCAGCGTGTGGCAGGACATTACCCTGGCTCTGCTCCTCCGTCGCCTCTGGCAAGAACAGCCCTTCCCTCTCCAAGAGCTCGCTGAACAGCTGCGAATCCGACTTCACTGCCGCACTGCGGGCTTGGGGCGGCCCTGGGGCTGCACAAAGGTCTCCCTCCGCTGCCTTGGCCGTGCCGCCTTCGGGGCCGGTGCTCCCGCAGCCGCCACCGTCTGAGGACACCGCGCTGCTCCCTCCACCATCCCGCTCTGCCCCCCGAGCGAGGAAGTGTCTGCCGTACACACGGGAGCCTCGCAGGTCACGCAGAGAGCTGCCCTCGCACCGCTTCTCCAGGACCTGCAGCACCTTCTGGGCCAGCTCCGCAGGCACCGACAGCTGCATCAGGCCTTCTTCATCCACCTCCGACAGCCACACCGATGGGGCCAAGTTAACCTCGGGCTCGCCGCACGCCCCACGCCCCTCATGGTGGCCACCGGCACGACAGACAGAAAGGCTGCACCGCCAGACGTGTCCAGGGCCACTCCCCACTGCCACCCTGCCCTGGCTGTCCCCAGCCCAGCTCCCACCCGTGCTCACCACCCAGCTGCAACTGGCACAATGACCCCACGGCCTTGCCTCGCCCGCCCAAACCTCGCTGGACAGTCACTCCTCCAGTCAGGGGACACTGCCTTTCCTCTCATCTCCACTCACTGCTCTGCTGGGCCAAGCTCCCCCTGCTTTCACCCATCGCCACACACCCTCCCATTTCTGCCCCATTCAGGCTGTCCCTGCACAGCTCACACTTGCCACCTCCTCTGGGCCTGGTCCCTTCCCTGCTGCTCTCCTTGCTCCTCCTTCCACTTTCCTGCTGCAGGCACTGGCCCCTACCTGCTCTCCCTGGTGCTGCTGGATGAGACAGGTGATCTCCTTCTGCTCCTGTGCTTCCAGCTTCCTCACAAAGAAGAGCAGCTCCCACCATTCGGCACGGCTCAGTGTCTCTGCAGCCTTGGGCAGCCGCTGCCCCAGGTAAGGCAGGGAGTAAAGCCCCCCCAAGGGCTTGCACAGCAATGGCTGTGGAACTGCTGGGGAGCAGAGCAAGGAAAGGCACTGTCAGCTCTGCCAACTCCCCCATCCTCTGCTGCACACCCCACATTTCAATTCATATTCTTTGTGAGATATGATGCCTGGAAAGAGTTATACACAGAAGTGAAACAGAGCTCCTGCTTCTCCCAAAATCAGACCATGAAAAGGAGAAACCTATTTGTTTTAAGTTAGACACTTCACACTGACATGAAGTTAAGCCTTTAACTACAAGAGGTAAAAGCCATTTAAGAAACCATCTTTTCAACTGGCAATAAGAATATTTTCTAAGTGTGCAATTAGCTGGTAATCTCATCAACATACTTTCTTGCAGCCAGTAAATCCAAACCACTCTACAGAAAAGATATCCTAAAAGATCACAGCTGTGATTAAATAGTCATTTTAATAAGTTTTCCTGGCTAGAATCATGTCAGATGCTGAACAAGATAGGGATATCTGAAGTCTGGATTCTGCCTTTTATTTTCTCCCAGTGCAAGGGCAATGTTAAATGATTCTAGGAGATGTCTTACGAAAACAGCTCTTTAATACTTTAACAGCTTGTTGAAAGCTTAACAGTATGAAGTTAAACAAATTGTTGCTATGTCAATGTTTTTAAAAATTCTTTTCACTTACTTAAGGGGACTTGAATGCCCCTAAACAGCTTTATCTCAAAGAAATTCTACATTCATGTTTTGGCAGTTTGGTCAGTTAATCCAAACACAAAGTTGTGCCAGTTGCAGTTTAAATAAAATTTTATGCTTTTTATATCATTACTTTTATTATACATCTTGACCGAAGTCTAGGGTTCAAAAATACTCCATTCAATCACAAGCCATACAATTCCTTAATTAGCTTTACAACTAATAGTGTTTTCTAAACCCAACCTGCTACTTGCCATGTGTCTGGCCATATAAACGTCACCACTCCTATCCCACAGGATAATCAGAAATAGAGAGATGATATACACATGCATCACAATCTCACCTGTGTCTAGATTAAAGCTCTTTCTCACACTATATTCCTTTTTCTGAGCAGCAGGATCTTCCCACTGGTCCCCAAAGCCAATAATCTCCAGTAACTGCCAACGCATCCAGTAGGTCCGACCTGTTGACTGCCATAAAACCTGTGGGTGAAACAAATCCAGACAATCAGATTTGCTCACTTGTTCAATCCTCTTGCTGCAGCTGTCCTCCCATTTTCCAAATGCCTGGGGACGAGTAGAAGACCACACAATTTGTGTACAGATCTCAGCACACACATTGTCCAGTTTTGAGGCATACCATCTTTACTAACTTCTTGCCTTGGTTACACCTGGATCTTTAGTTTTTAAAAACCACTACCTTTGCCTGCAACCACTGAAGATCTCACTTATTACAGCAACAGAGGCATGAGTGCATCCAGTTAATCACACCTGTTCCAAAAGAGCCAAGCTGCAGGTGCCTTGGGAAAAGCAGACAAAGGAAGAACACAACCAACACGACCTCGAGGCAGATGAGCTGTATATAAAGTACCTCAGGGCATTTTTATAACCTTGGTCATTCATCAACCCTCTCTAACAGGTTTTAGGCTCTTGACAAGCATGTCTCAAACGCAGCAATTGTTTCCTCTGCTTGGTCCAAGTTGCCTCTCAAAAATGAAAAGGATTTTCTATGGCTTCCCATAGCATAGTGTTACATTTAACCTTCCGAGCAGGAGAACCCAGCAAAAGCAAGTACAACATGTCAGTAGCTTTAAAAAAACAACAGAAAAACATATGGTTTGCCTGTTTCGCTGAGCTCTTTTGGACTTACATCTGTGCTACTGTGAACCCATTGTGCTGGACAGATGAGATGCTGACAGGCTTTGGGAAAGCACTGTATGGAAGGAAATCGAGTTAAACTACACACAACACTAAACAGTCTTCAATGTATCTCTGAACTAGTTATGTATGAGCTCTAAACTAGTTATGTACCAAGTGCCATTTCAAAGGAGTTAGGGAAAGTTACAGCTGCAGGACCGACACAACAGTGAAATTCTTTCTTTGGAGAGACAAGGAAAGCAACAGCAATCAGAGCAACAAAGGAAAGATGAGAGGGGGTAAGAGACATTCATGATGGACCGGCCCAATTGCCATTCTGACCTGGTTTTGTCAATAGTGTGAACCTGACAAACAACTTACTGAAAATAAGCCTGGATGGGGAACCCAAGGGACCAACAGGACAGAGGGAATGGAAGCTAACAGTACACTTTAGCTCAACACTGAAGTGAAAACCCTTTGAAATGTATGACACTGGCAACAGGAGAAAAATATGAAAGGATCTTGGTGCTCTTTCCACCTGCCCAGTTCATTAAAAGAAAGTACAAGTTTATAAGAAACAGAAATCATAATTCTAGGAAAACACAGATATTAGAAAACAAGAAGTATAAGGACAAAGAGAGAATCAGTATGAAATACATTTCCTTTGCAATTTATACAGTGGGTTATAAAAGAGGTTTATAAACCATTTAAAAATAAGATGTAAAGCAGTTACTTAGCTGAGGGGACCTGAATAGAAACATCACCAACGCATGGACCAGAACTAGAAAAGCCTTTTAACTGAGGTACATGGAAGACAAGGAGATGATTCCAGAAAACCAGAGAAGAGTCTTGCCCAGCCAACCTAGTGGCCATCTATGATGGAGTGACTACATCAGTAGCCAAGGGAAGAGCTATGGGCTGTCACCTTTCTGGACTTCTGTAAGGCACTTGACAGCAATCCCACAACATCCTTCTCCTCAAATTGGAGAGACATGGATTTTTTGGTGCAAAGACAGAGAGTACTTTGGATTAGCATAAGAGATTTTAGCATAAGAGTTCTTGCCTTGGCAAGAAAAAACAGAGTTTTGAAGATTGCAAGAGGATTGGATCAGACTGGTGACAAGGAAGAAGACTAAATCAATTTCTGCAAGTAGAAGAGATATTGCAAAAATGTGTAAGATTGTACAATGATCAACCCAATCATTGTAGTAAAAAATTACTAGCCTTCCTAGAATGGTATATAAGCATATGTAGCCCACAATAAATTCAGATTCTGATCACCAGTCAGTTGTCCCCATCTCTCTCAATCACCAATATGGATTCAACAGATGGACCATTTAGTTGATGAGGAATTGCCTGAATGATCATATCCAGATGTCAACAGCTCAACATCCAGCTGGAGATCAAGTGGTGTCCCTCAGGGGTCCGTATGGGGACCAATACCATTTGTTACCTTCATCAGTGACAACAGTGGGATTGACTGCACTCTCAGCAGGTTTGCTGACAACACCAAGATGAGCAGTGCAGTTGACACGCCTGAGGGATGGGATGGCATCCAAAGGGACCTGGATGAACTTGAGAAGTGGGACCCTCATGAGGTGCAAGGTCCTGCACCTGGGTTGTGGCAAACCCCAGTACCAATCCAGGCTAGAGGACAAAGGGATTGAAAGCAGCCCTACAAAGGACTTAGCAGAACTGGTGGATGAAAAGCTGGCCATGACCTGGCAATGTGCACTCAGAGACCAAAGAGCCAACCATATCCTGGGCTGCATCAGGAGCAGTGTGACCAGCAGGTGAAGGGAGGTGATTCTGCTCCTCTGCCCTGCTCTGGTGAGACCCCACCTGGAGAACTGCATGCAGCTCTGAAAACTTCAGGACAAGGCATGGACCTGTTGAAGCAGGTCCAGAGGAAGGCCACAAAAACAGTAAGAGGGATGGAAGACCTCTGCTATGAGGAAGTGCTGAGACAGCTGGGGTTGTTCAACCTGGAGAAGCTTCCAGGGAAACCTTACAGTGATCTTTCAATACTTAGAGAGGGCTTGTAAGAAAGATGGAGACAGGCTTCTTAGTAAGGCCTGTTTTAGAGGCTAAGAAATCTTAGCAGCACAACCCATGCAAAACCAGACTAGCCCTCCATGCAACTATGACAGATGCATACAGTGATACACATTATGCTACACCTACTGTCCAACATCCTGCACATAAAGGCATCATTAGGAATTTATCGGTCACCCCAGCCACTCCCTTCTGCCATTCCAATCAGAGCAAGTCTCCCCATGACCTACCTGTACTGTGTGCATGCTGTTCGTGCTCTGGAGAAACTCGCCTTCCTCCCCAGCTCTAACGTCACCGCAGTCCTCCAGCAAGCGCACCCGCATGCCATGCACCAGGTTTGCCTTCAAGTACTCCACATAGTCACTGCTGTCTGCGAAGTCTGATGCAGTCAGGAATGTACAGCCCTGCTTTTTGTGAGTTCCAGGATTTGATGGCAACACAGGCTTCTGGGCAGCAGAGCTGGCTGAGGCCTTGTGCTGGAAGATGGAGCGGGCGGGACGAGGCTGCAGGTCCCGTTGGGGCAGTGGCTCTGCCTCGTGGCTGTGGCTCCAGCCCATCACGTGCACCAGCTCCGAGATGAGGTTTGCCATGGCCATGCTGAACTCAAACTCCTGCTTCACACGGCTCCTCTCCTCAGGGACAGGGCTGGGCACAGCACAGCCCTGCTGCTCCTCTCCCTGCTCCACGCCACTGCTCAGCTTGTCCAGGAGAGAAGTCACACACAGGTAGCGCTTCACCAGGACAAACAGCTGCTTCCCAGGGATCTGCAACAAGCACAGCTCTCACTCAGCCTGCAGAGCACCTCCAGCCCCCTGCTCTCTCTGAGCCACCAGCTCATTCCCAGGCAGGCTCCCGGGAGAGCTCCAGACCAGCTGGCAGCAGCGGAGACCTCTCAGCCCACCCTCCCCTCCCTGCTCGCAGACCGGGCTCTCCAGGTACCTCTGCACCACCCCCAGCCTCTCACCAGGCCCACGTCCTGTGCCAGCTCTCCCGGTCCTGCTCACCTGCCCACCTTAAACTCCCCTCTTGGCCAGGACAAGGTGCCAGCCCTGTTCCCCCACTCCCACCGCTCCTGGCCCCTCATGCCCCACAGGCCCGGGGCTGGTGGCCGGTCCGTCCCTACCTGCGGGAGGTGAATCCCCTCGAAGGACATGCAGTGCTCTGCAGAGGACATGATCTCAGCAAACAGCTCCAGCAAGGTGCAGCGACTGTCAAAGTCCACCTGCTGCTCAATGCCATCCTGCTGGCTCAGGGACAGCAGGACATAGGCCCGGCTCCCTGCAACAACAACAAAACAAAACTCTTCAGGCCCCAGAAAGACAACCCTCACCCCACTCTCCCTGTGAGAGATGGAGCCGCAGGAGAGGAACAGCTTTGCTGCTGCGTGTCAACTGATCCATGTTCTGTCCCTCTGGAGTGGCAACATTTTGCTCCGTGGTGTACTTTTTCTACTCCTAACACTGTGAGATTCTCACAAAGCAGCAACCCCAAACAACTGATTCCAGAGCAGGGTCCCAGGGAAGAAAAGAAGTTTTAACCTGAATCAGCCCCTCCTCTGCCCCACTTCAGAGCTGCATGAACTCAGGCACTAGGACAGGGAAAGCTGGATTTCCTGTGGGATACACCACAACCAGCAACCTTCCAGGTGCACCCAAACCTCATCAGGTGATTCCAAGCCATGGCAGCACCTCTTAAATGAGGACTAGCCTCTATCCAGGGCTTGAGGAAAGGCTCCCTGCCAAGAATAGGCCAGAGACTTTCCAACTGACACCTTAGAGCAGTCACCCCACACTCTGCCAATCTCCTTGGCCTAAGTCCTCCTAACAGTTAATCAGCATTCCAGCTCAGAAACCTGGCAGGGGAGAGTTTCTAAATCCAAGAGCAGTCCAGACAACTACAACCAAGGAAGCCTGGAAGATGCAGACTGATTCCTCCCCTTTTGCCAAGAAGCCCCGAGACATGCTGCTTCCCAGGCATCTCACCCCTCCCAAAGGCTGGCACCCCTCAGCTGCCCAGCAACACCTCCTCAGCGGCACCGAGCAGGAGCAGCCCCCACCTGCATCGTGGGCACCCAGAGCGCGCAGCATCTCGCCGGCACTGCGGCGGATCTGCTTCTCCTTGTGGCAGAGCATCCTCATCAGCAGGTCCAGGGCTCCCATCTCCCTGAAGGCGCCCGCCAGGGAGCCGATGCTGGCGTAGGCGCCCAGCACGTGCACCGTGCTCAGGATGGAGCACTCGGGCGTCCCGGCCTCGGCCACCTGGCGCCCGGCTCGCTGCACCAGGCTCCTGACATCGGCCTTCATCTCCAGCAGCGAGGCCTCGTCCAGCGCCACGTCCGCGGCCAACGGACCGGGCGCCTTCTCCTCTTTCAGCCGCGGCCCTTCCGGCCTCCTCCGGCCCAGCAGCGCCGGGCAGCTGGCGCCGACCTCTTCTGCAGACATCCACATGGAGATGTGCTCTGGCTTGGTCTCTGCACAGGAGGCACTGCTGCCTCCTGCTGCTCTCTCTTCCAAGCTGACGACGCTCCACTGGACCAGGTATTCCGGCCGGCCGTCGTGGCCTCGCCGCTGCCGGAGCAGCTCCTCTGGGTAGGCCTGCAGTTTGGGCCCCAGCTGCACGAGCAGGGTGCCATTGTGCTTCTCATTCACCATGGCAGCAGATGTGTCTGCAGAGACAGAGGGTCAAGTTTTTATTTCTGAGCTGCATGCTGGGGAAAGCGTGAGCCAGCACTGACAGTAGAAGTGGTCAAGGCACAGCTTTTGATCGTGAGATTCTATGCCCAGGATAAAGCTTTGAAGGAAAAGCCACTTTGCAGAGGTTCACATTCCCCTTCCAAGAAAATAAGACAGTTTTTCATAAACAAAACCAGTTCCAAGCATTACTGGCACACACAGAAAGAGATTCTCCTCAAAAAAGAAACACAAAACACAGAGGCAAAATAGGCCCTTTAATAAGACAGCAAATAATGATGGAAGATTTTAATCCTGTTCACATTCCTGCCACTGGCCATAACACAACCCTCACAAGTTGCTGCACTTCTGTCTTCCCTCCTGGTATTTACCACTTATAGTTCAGACTGTGAGTTTACACAGAGCTCACGGTACTCTCACCATGCATAGGGACCTTCACATCACCAGGCCCTGAAGAAAATAATGAGCAGTTTCTCAGATCTAGTTCATACATAACAAATCAGGTTCACTACCTGAAAGTCTCTCAGTATTCCCTTCTCGACCTCTTCTCAGAATTCTTTGCCTTTACAATGTTTTATCAATGGACAAAGTCCACAGAACTAAAAGATTTCTACTCTCTGTTACCCGACTGTTCTGCATCTTGGGACTACAGAGAAGACACAGTGCTTCTCTTTTTTCATCCCTGCAAAGGGCAGCATGGAAATAACTTGCTGTCCAAGACTGAGTGCCAGCAATCAGCAAGGCAACTGCAGACAAAACCGCTGACTGAGTTCACAAAGGATTCCAGATCAGGCTGATAGGAAGGATCTCAGAGGAGCTCAGTCAGGTGCCAGTGGGGAAACAAGCCCACCACTTACACACACAGTCAAGAGAAGCAGTGAAGAAAGATACCAGAGAAGCAGTCAATCCATGTTTAACCAAAGAAGATACTAACCATCAAAGACTATGACATTAAAAATATTTTCCAGGTGCAAAGAGGAGTAGCCTGAACTCCCAAGACATTCATACTTACCTTCGATTGTGCTGCTTTCCTTGGAGTTTGCAGCATTCCAGATGGGAATCTTCTTACAGTCTCTGTAATAAAAAGGCCAAGTTATTCTCCTGTGCTTTGTAAAAGTGTTTAGATGTCACACCACAAACCAAGTAAGTGTTTTTCTTAAATGCTAGAGGACAGCTCGCACCGACGTGCCTCGGTCCTGGCGCCGCGGAACACACGGGCTTTCCTCCGGGCCATCCCGGACACCCCGGCGAGCCGCGCCCCTACGCCCGGCCCTTCGCTCACCGCTGTTCCGCTGTCCCCGGAGCCACGGCGAGCCGGGCAGGGTACGGCCGGGCCCAGCCCCGGTACGCAGGAAGCCGACTCACCGCCGCGGCGGGAAGAAGGAATCGGCCCTTGAGGCGCCGCTCCAACCCTGCCCCCGGAGCGGCCCCGGCGCCACCGGGAGGCACCGGAAGCAGCGCGCCGCTTCCGTGCCCGCTACGGGAGGCGGCGAGGGACACGGGAGGGGCGGGAGCTGCGCTTTCTGCGCACGCGCGCTGCAGTGTCCCCGTCGTGTCCCCGCCGTCCCTCAGAATCCCAGGATGGGTCGGGTTGGAAGAGGCCACAGTGCGTCATCAACTTCCCTGCTATGCCAGCGAGGGAGACTCCACACCTTTTCTTGGCAGTCTGTCCCAGTGCTTGGGCACTGCACAGGAAAGTTCTTCCTCATGATTCCGCCCAGCAGAGCCTGGTCCATCCTGGGATCCCTCCCTGCAGACACTGACAGACATTGATGAGGTTCCCTCTCAGTGTCTCTTCTCCAGGCTGAACAGGCCCAGCTCCCTCAGCCTCTCCTCAGAACTGAGGTGCTTCAGTCCCTTCATCATCTTTGTCACCCTCTGCTCTACCCTCTCCATGAGCTCCGTGTCTCTCTTGCCCTGAGGATGCCAGAGCTGGACACAGCACTCCAGACTGGCCTCACCAGGGCTGAGTAGAGGGGCAGGATCATCTCCCTGACCTGCTGCCAATGCAGTTCCCAATGCAGCCCAGGATCCCATCGGGAATTCCGCAAGAGCACTGCAAGAGCACCCCACAGGACAGCTCCCAAAGGGGTTTCAGCCCTGAGCTGGCACCAGAGCGCAGGTATCTTTGGCTGTGGGTCACAAAGCTGCTGTTCTCCCACACCAGCTGCACACCAGGAACAGTGGTGGAAAAACGTGAAAGATTGGAGTATCTTCTGATTCCCCTGGCTAATGTTAAAAATGAGAACAAATGGAAGTTGTAAGCTGAAGAAGGCATCTGCTAGAATGAGCTGCTTTTTGGTAATGTGGTAATGTTGCGCTGTGTGTTGGTACCATTCATCTGGTGATTAATTGTCCTCATCAAGGGCTGCAGCAGGAAGAGTGGCAGGAAGGCTAAAAGCATGTCCTGTCAGCACTCAAATTATTACTGCAGATGCACCGTTAATCAAGAATTACAGTGCAGCAGTGTTAGGCCCGTGGCCCTGGGGTGGTTCCAGCCCTGCACCCACCCTCCATCCACCCTGTTGGCTTCAGTGACAGCTGCGCTGGCTCCCGGCAGGTTTGGGGCTCTGAGACTGCCCTGTTCTCAGTGTTGCTGGAGAGCCAGTTGAAGCCAGCTGCACACAAGTTTGGCCTGTTTCCAGCTCCTTTCCAGCTTTGGTGTCACACTGTTCTGAAATGCCCATACCATAAAATCTAAATTCTTATCCTTTGCCCATACTTCCCTTCCTTGGGGTGCAGGTTTCTATCAGTTCGATAAGATTTGTTCTAAATTATAAATAAATATTTAAATCATCACCTAACTGGATGAGACTTTGCTTTCTTATTTGATCCTGGAGCAACTTATATGTGCCCAGTCTAATTTCTACCCTCAGTACTAATGCCATTGTTTTAAGACAATTTCCATGTTTTACAATAGCAATCAGCAATTAACCCAAACAATATAATTACAATTATAGGCTGGATAAAACAGTGCTGTGCTACATCAGTCCGTGGAGACCATCCTCTAAACCTGTGGCACTAATGGTGGATTGTAAATGTTTATGTTTCCAAGCCACACTTTTGATTTCTCCATTAGTACATGTAATCTCTGTTGATGCTATTGATAGTCTCTTTCCAGAATCCCATGGATGCTCTTGAAATCTCTGTTCTCAATTAATGTCATTTTCTTTCCCTACTCACTACCAAGACATCTTGTTTGTGACAAGGAGAGGTTTTCTATGCTACTCACACAGCCTGCTTATGACTTTGCTCTGATGGTCTCCACACGGTGCTTAGTAGGTCATTTATCCTAAAAATAAAGATTGTATCTGTGGTATCTTGCTCCATGGTATTGACACACACACCCCTGTGCACAGGTGATGTGGGACTGCCTGAGCTGAAAGGGTGTTTGTGGTGTTGAAACACACACCTGTCACTTTTAGGTACGGGCCTAAAAGTGAGGCACCTCACCTCCTAACGGGGAAAGAGCCATTTCAGCTGTCTTTTGCTCCTAAGTACTTTCTGTACAATCCTCTCCCCTCCTGAGGTCTTTTCTCCAAACAGCACTTTTATCAGTGCTGAGCTTTCCTCACACTATACTGGTATCTGCTCCAGGACCTGATGCTATGGAGTGGCCAGCATTTTTAGCTGGCATACTCTGGCACCAGCACCCCTTTGGACACTTTACTGAGCCTCCGTATGTCCTTGATCTGGCTTCTAGGCCCCTGCCTGACTTTAAGTAATGTCTCTCCAGATTGGATTTTGAATATTGCCACATCTTCTCATAGAAGTTTTCTGTGGGGAATTTAGGTCTCCCTGCTTCTCCCTATTAACACCTGTGAATTAGAATTTTTTTTTTTTAAATTCCCCATTCCTCCTCATTGCTGGGATTTGCTTCTCTTGACACCATGCCCTGTTCACCAAGGAACCTGTTCATCGTTCCAGAGCTTTCAGGAGAGAGAGCCCTCACAGCCCTTCTGTCAGGCACTGGCCCTCTCTGGCCCACACATTAGGCTGAGACTCCAGAGGATAAGTCCAGGTGGTCAGGAACAACCTGTGCAGGAGGTAGTAGGGATGGAGACTTTTGCAAAGGGCCCGTCTTTGCCACAACATGCTCAGATAGCTCCCTATCCTCCTCAGTACACAAGCAGGTGCAGGAATCTGCCCCCGATCCCCAGTTGTTGGCCCTAAGGTGTGCGTCATCCCCTCCCGCAAAGCATGGTCAACATCCCAAATCTGTGCACAAAATGATAACATTTATTGAAAGAGTAAATTTTTTTTTAATACAAAAGAAAGCTCTGTACATAGTACTGTGATTACTTCCACATCCTTCCAGAAACACAACCCTGGAAACTGGAGGGAAAAAAAAAAAATAATCCCACACACACTTATGCGTACACACACGCACACACACACACGCACGCACGCGCACACACACCCCTCAAACCAGTAAAATGAACTAAAATTGTCACCACACAATAAACGCCATTTCATCCCTGATACACAAGTGTTCTTACAAGTCTGCACTTAAATAAAATACACCATTAGCGTTTAACCAGCAGTTGCCTTTGGGGAGCCAGGGAGGGGATGCAGTCAGACACCCTGTAGCAGCAGAGGCTCTCCTGCCATTCTGGCCCAACAGCTCTGCTCCATAGTGCCAGCAGAAGCAAAGCAGAGCAAAGCCAGGCCACAGTGATGTGCTGGGGCAAAGGACAATGCAAACTCTGACCCCACACTTCTCCCTGGATTAACTCCCAGGTACCTACATGGTTTTGGAAGCGTCACTGAACAGTTTTCCTACACTGAGCCATGGGACATGGCTCAGCACTCCCACACGCTCTGAGCTGCAGGGTTTGCATCACCTCTTAGAGCAAGAATTCTAAGGGGAGGCAGCATGCAATGTCACCCTCACCAGATGGGCCACCCTACACAAGCCTGTCCCAGGCTGCTAACAGATCAAGGGCTGAAAGACCCTTCTGGGAATTCTTTGCACAAGGAGCTTGGAGCAGACCTGTCCCCATCTGTGCGCTGCAGAACGGCTGTAGATGGGGAACTACAGCCCAGATCATCAGCCAGGGGTTCAGGAGATGCTGCCTGCAAGCAGGGAGAACAGGGCTTAGCCACTGCTGGTCACTCACCACAGGGAGGAATGGGGACGCCCATATCCCTCAGGCAGCCACAGGCAGCACTGCTCCGCACCAAGAGCGGTGACAGTGACAGAACAGCTGTAGGGCCCTGGACCAGAAGTGAACAGGTGATCATCAGAAAACCCAGCCCACCTCTTGCTCCTGGGCACTGCAAACTGCCTGCTTCTGAGGAATGGGTTTACCACTTCCAGAGACCAGCCACTGCTTCACTTGTCTTCTGCCCATTAAGCCCAAAATTATGGGTATGAAGTCCTCGTTACAAGAAAGTAGGAAATAAGCATCCCACTCAGTTCAGCTTGATCCCTGGCACATGCTGGTGGATGGAGAGTGCAGCTTAAACGCTAATGCTGAGGGAACATGTCCAAAGTTACAATACAAACTCAAAAGCAAGGCCCCTTTCCTGCCTCCATGCCCGCCCACCCACCCCTCTCCCATCCCCCTGGTACAAACCCCATTAAAACTGTACAGGAGCCAAACTTTTATTCCTTAAAGAATTACATAAATACTGAGTTTAACACTTAGAAAAATAAAGTAATTTTCTTTTTTTTTCTTTTTTTTTCTTTTTTTTTTTTTTTCTCCAAGGCTTCTTTTGTCTTTAACTTAAAAAAAAAAAAAAAGTTACAGTAGCTGCTTCTTCCCCTAAGGATTCAGCAGCTTCTCTCACTTGCTCACTCTCCCTCCAGGGACAGGGCTAGGTAGCAGAGCCATTCACAGCAACTCCCATGCAGGACCAAGCATGCCCCAGCCCTTCTCCCCCAGCCTTGCTGAGCCTGTACAGGCATCACAGCTGCTCGCCCACAGCCCAGGATGGCCTGCAGGTCACCCTGGTGCTCAGAGGAAGAGCCTGCCACCTGCCCAGCAGCTCTGTGCCCCATGGGCTCTTCCCTTTAACATTTGAGTTGTTTCTCCACCTTGCATCAGACACAGAAATTCAGAAAACGCTGGCTGGAGCTGCAGGGGGATGTAGGAAAGACCCAGCCACGTTCCCCTGGGTGTATGGAGTCCAGAAGCAGTGCGAGGGCTGAGAGTGTGGGGCTGAGCAGAGCACAGGGGCCCTGAGGAACTCTCCAGGGCATCTTTGTGTTCCTGGGCATCTATCGACCACCTCACCTGTGCAAGGGCAGCTGCCGGGGCAGGGCCAGTCAGGCTGAAAATCTGCCAGGCAGCCCAGCGAGGAGGCACTGAGGGCAGAGGGCTCACTGTAGTGCATACGAGGAAGACAGGGCCACGTGCCAGCGGCCGTGCCCTGCCCTCCAGGGAGAGGGCATGCAGGCCCAGAGATGCACATGCAAGCTGGCCC